GAAAGGATAAGGCTGTGTGATTGTTGCTCCAATAACGTCTTCAATTGTAATAAACAATCCATATGATCTAACCAAACTTTCCCTCCTTTATGATGAACAACATCCCCAACCTACAAAAACGTGATTGAAGAACAAGATTATAAGATTTTATTAAGTTCCATAATAATCTTGTAAGATAAATGATTAAACTTTATATCTACATCTTTCGATTATTGTGCTTTTTATAAATGAGTTCATGGTATCGCAAAGTTACCTGTAATGAAGCTGTTGTGCAACCTGGCCCGACTACTCCTTTTTGTCATTGTTTGGTCATATTAGTTAGAATTTAGTGGGTTCATCTAAAATTATCCGTTAGGAAAACATATACAAAGTAGCCTCTTGTTCATACTCACCGCAGCTTATCAGGGAGAGATTCTCCAATTTCCAACATGTCTCTATTTTGGACGTGCATTTTCTAGTGTAACTGCTTCGCAATTTCCCTGGGTAAAGTTATTGAGAGAATATCCTGTTGCAAAGGTCGCAGATGTAAGTTCTCTTCTTGAAACTAATAATATAATAGAACTTAAAACAATTTGAACCTATACTACCAAATTATAGTGCCTGTGAGTGTATTGTCTACTAATTAATATGCTATCATGGTATAAGGAGTTTGAAATCCAAATAATTTATATGCTATCATGGTATTAGCCTATTAGTGACATATGTGAGGAGAATAGGTTGAACAAAGCACATTACTGACAGTTGGTGGTTAAGGAAGAAAAACTAAGACTAGTGTAGAACAGATAAGTCACACATGTAAATACAATAGAAGAGAAGAAAGTTTAGAAAAATTACGACTATCTACCCTCAAGTTTGATATTTGTGTTCTAAACATTCATGTGCCAATTCGTATTCCAAAAGACAGGTTCCTAATGACCCTTGATTTTGCAGAATTAAGCAAGTGTTCATCAGCATCAGCATCTGGTAGCTTTTAAAAGAACCAAAAAAAAAGGGATGTACATGATGATGTAAAATTATATATATATATATATATAAACTTATTAATTTGCTGCTATAGATTTTAATTAACTAAATAAGAATGCCATCTCTGCCTGCAAGCAAATCCTTTCTCTCTTTCAATCCAGATATGCCTGATGTATGTGTTTAAAATTCCACCACYTTTTCTTCTTCCTGTATTCCGGTGGCGGCAACTCTGTTCCAACCAAATTCCGTCATCATTTAACTATATAGTAAACGATAGAAAACCCGATTCTTCTGATGTAAAACTAGAATACAAGTGTGTTATAGTTGATCAAAAAGACCAAACTGACCTCCTTCAGGATAGATCGAGTTGTAGTGCACCTCAGCCCAAAAGCTCAAGAATATGACTAATGATAGATGCTGGTTTGTGTGGATTTCTAAAAAGTGGATGATTAACTGGTTTGTGTGGATTTCTAAAAAGTATTACGAACCCAAGATTCCACAATCTTCCAAAAAGCAACCAAAGTAATTATCCTCCCTTTAGTAAGGAATTTTAAAGTTCACAATAGTTGGAATCATTAGATTTTGTGGAAATTTGCAGCCTAATTTCTGAATTAAAAGGATTAGCAACCATGAAGGAGTTCTATGGTCAATTGACACCTCCAGCAGAAAGACTGGAAAAGAACATAGATAGCATGTTGTCAACTTTAGGTAGCTATGTTCATCTATTCCCATTGGGAAACTTCTAGTCATCTGTAATACTAATACCCTTTGGTCAAAAATGGGTTTCACAGCTAGAGATTTAGGTACAAATTTGCCATAATAAGATGGAGTGATGAGTAAGATGCCTTTTCCTATATATGCACATGAAGAGAGAGAGAGAGAGAGAGAGAGAGACTCGAGAGTTTACACTGTTGTGACTTATTCCACTACTTCCATTGTTCAAATTCAGTGTTCCATTAGCAATACACTGAATAATGCAAATACTATTATCTAGATACATATCAGTTTAGGTCGATAAAATGACATAGATCATCACTATGATAATATGATTTCTTTAAGAACTTAAACTGCCACTGTCTCCGTCCCAGAAAGATAAGAAGAAATARAATTCTTTTCTGTTGCAGATCATACAAATACATTTTTTATTTGTAGTTGCAAGACTGCAACAGTATGCCAGCCATGGATATGGAACTTAAGACTAATTCTAAAATGGAGGAAGTAAAGGATGGGCCAATGCCAATACCAATGCTAGGTCTTCTAACAAGTTTTAATCAACAAGATTTATTGAGTTACCATTTAAAGAGAAACAATCAGCTCCTAAGTTCCAAATAAACTTTTGAGGCCAAACCTAAATTTGGCTTGTATACTATTTACCAATTTGATGCAAACGATCTTCTTTCTGTTATACATGCTATCAAGTTTTCGTGACTTCCTGCATCTATTAGCCTCTTTACCTTTGAAGAGGTGAGTGCATCTAATATACTGCCCCTTTCTCACAAAAGAATACAAAATTTATCAAATGATTCAGAGCCGATTAACTTTTTACCAAACAAAAATCATCTCTGAGTTAAATTGTCACAGAATTCGTATCGAGACTAAGAGAATATTAAACTAATTGTAGTCAATGAAAATGTTACCTATAAGCAGAAGGATCGTCGTYTGATGCTTTGAGATTTCAGGGTAGAGTCGATCGATTGCAAACAGTGAGGGAGAGGGAGGAGTCGATCAACTTCCTGAGTTCCTTCAAAATTACCGATCGTAGCTTCGTAAGTAGGTACAGGGGAGTATCGATCGTAGCTTTGTCCAGGGGAGTCGATCGTAGCTTCTTCCATGGAGTCCAGTGAAGGAAGTCGTGAAGGAGGAATGGTAAAGTAGGAGTTAACGGGCCGGGGCTTTCATAGACTCTAATATAATATTTCATGGGTTTTAAAATTCTAATATTAACCTTTGAATATTAACAGTCTTTGGGTTTAAGAAAATGGGCTTAGGATTATATATTAATAGGCTTTTCATATTTGGGCCTAAATTTGATATTAAAAATGGTTCTAAATATAATATGCTATTTATATCATTTTAAACTCTAATAGGACATTTAAAAGTGTCCTATTAGCTTTTAAACACTAATAMAACAATCAAAAATGTCTTATTAACTTTTAAAATTAACATGACACTTTAAAATGTCCTATTAATTTTTAAAATAACATGACACTTTAAAATGTCCTATTAGTCTTTTAAATAATATAACACTTAAAAAGTGTCCTATTAGCCTCTCAAATGATATGACATTGAAAAGTGTCGTATTAGATTTACATGATAGGACACAAAAGAGAGCTTAATAAGACATAAAAAATAAGAGTCCTATTAAATTAAATCAAATAGGACTCGTGAAATAATGTGTCGTATTAGACCTTTTTAAAGGACGGATCTTGAAAAGTGTCCCAAAAAAGTGTCCTATAAACTTGTTTTTGTTGTAGTGTAAGTCTTGTGTCTGCTTGTGATTTCATCATGTTTCGTTCAAACTATACTTTGTAAAAGCTTAATTTGAAAAATATATGCCAAAAATAAAATAAAATAAAGAATAGAAAAGGTCCAAGAAAACTGAAAACCGGTAACTAATTMTACATCCAAATAAAGGAAACAGAAACATATAAACAAGTATGACTGTTCATTCATGTTCTCAAATATCTTATCTCAAACCAATACACGATCTCACTCATTCTTATGTGAAGAAAAGACCCTATAGAATCATATAAAGCTACATCAATTAAGTCATGCCTATAAAATAATGGGCATACGTATTTAGTCATGCCTATAAATGAAAAAACATTCACCTGCCAATTGCATGACAAAAATGGCGCTTCAAAACACAACCCAACAGATGTAAAATTCACTTGCATTCAAATGTAGAGTTTGAACAACTCTGCTCTTAATTCAATATGCACGTATGCACACAGAAGACTTGTAAAAGTCTTGTAAAATATGCTATTTTAATAATGTTGTGTTATAGATGTCAGAAACCTATTGAATAGCAAGTGGACCACACCCATATTGTACTATAAAAATTGCATCCCCAAACAGTATTAAACAAAGGAATTAAATCTAATAGAAATTAAATAGGATAAACCATAACTTAATTAGTAATCTTTTATCTTCAAATATCAACTGTTTGCAATCGGCACTATACGAAATTTTATTTTTACGGACGACCTTTTGTACCAACAAAAAACATAAAACCGCTTACAAAGTTGGTCCGATGATGATCACTTGTCACAGGTCGTTTCCTTATACCACCAAAAGTTAAAGGACTTTTGCCGGAAATTTTTGTTGGCATTATTACAGACGTACATTGGCGGTGAAAACTGGGTAAAAATACGATTTTCTGTAGTGTGCAGTCACAGATTTATGATATTATTTTTCATGTCGAAAACAAAACAAAAAGTGGTTTGAGTTTGGACATTAAAGAAGGATGAATATGAGCTAATCTTAGGATAAAAGGATGAGATATTGAAGATAATAAATCTCACCTGCCAATCCAAGAAAATGGCTTTTGAACTTAAGTCTCTCATGTTGTCAACTTTCTGCTCATGACATTATTACATTCGTACATTAGTTGTGACTGTGAGTCATTATTACACACGTACATAACATTATGATGAGTCTTTTTCTCCATAAAATTTGGTTTTTATATTGATTACAATTTCAATGTTATTACTAAAAGGGATTCAAAAGTAACAACGGCCTGCATTATTTGCGGAGACTTAATTTTAAATCCGAACCAAAGTCAACTGTTACAAATTATTTTTGTATATATATTTTATACATCATAACCTATCAAAGCAACTGCATGTGGATGAGAATATTTGTATTTAAATTTAAGAATTTGATTACAACAAAAGCTTGACAACCAATATTGGACTTCTAAATATTAACTATACGACCAACTGTATATAAAACAAAAGGGTTTTTTAGACTGAAATCTCTGTTGAAGATCAGTCTAAAAAGTGGGTTTTTGATAGATTTACAACAATTTTTCTCGACTATAACAAATTGGTAAAAAACAAAATTTTCTATTGATTTTCGATGCAAATTTCGATGTATTGTTTCCATTGAAAAATCCATGAAGATGGGGAGGGATTTTTAACGGAACTTGGTCAACATTTTTTGTGATTTTTGATAGACTTTCAGGGATTTCTTAGAGGGATTGATTTTTGAGGGATCTTTGACAAAATAGATCTTCAAGGGATTTTGCTTTGACTGGAACTTGTTCAATTGTCGTTGACTATCTTTGACAAATTTTCATGGGATTTTAGACAGATTTCGGTCAAAAAATGTAAGTTTAAAAAAAATTAAATACTGTTATAGAATAACTGAAAAATGTTAGAAATTCTGGTTTTCGATTGCTTGGACTCCACTGAAAATCATGTATCACTTCCAGATTGAAGTATTTCGATGGTACAATCAAAATTTCAATTGGATAAAATTCAGTAGTTTTTCCGAACAAAGAGTTTTTTGTGTTATGAAATCTGTG